AACCCTTAGAATAACACTTGACTTGGGGTCAGCATTATCCTTCTCAAAAATAACAGAAAAGCTCCCGAATTCTAGATCAGGTTCTCTAAAAAGATCAGCAAGAAGTGAAGCACAGGTATGAGCATTTTTGGAGGGACACCTCTCAATTTTAAATTTCAAAGCTCGTGCACTAGCATAATGTGCCATGTTGGCAGCTTCTCGAAGACCGCTGAGAAAGGCTCCATGCATGGTTGCAGGATATCTTCTTGTTGTTGCCTCTCCGGCAAAAAATAGTCTACCATCTCCCACAGTTTCTGCTAGTATATCATAGTCATCTCCCGAAGCACCTACGGCTACATTAGAATAAGAACCCAGACAGAAGGGGTCGCTGCCCCATCTGGTACAGACTGTTTGGATAGGTTCTGGGACGGTGATTCCTTGTGGTTCATAGATTCCTATATGGATATTTAGAAACAAGGACTATCAATCAGTGATGAAATGCAAATCTGAGTACACTGTGAAAATCAATCATCAAAACAGTGGTTTGCAACCACAGCACAAGAATCCACTACCTAATTACGACACAACGATGAAGTTCAAGGAAACAATCAAGCACACATTGATACAGCTTCTGTTTCCCTAGTCTACCAAGTTAATTTAAATGACACAATTTCTTCAATTTCCAGCCACAGAAAACAATCGAGCAGTATCAATCCATTACCATGGTGATAGCCATTATGCCAATAGCTGTTACAACATGCTCTATTTCTTTGCTTAAGAAATGGTAATCATTACTAAAAAAAAATCGATTAACAGCACATGACATAATTTATTGCTGTGGGGTACACACTCGGTACTCCTGCATTTTTAATCTTCTCATTTCAGATTTGTTAGACCTAACAGTACAGAATATAGTTGTTTCTTCAGGAAACTATTCCAATTCTTGTAATACAAGCTCCAGTTCAAGCGATTACCCACTTGTATAATTAACTGGTTTGACAAGTTGATTGTATCAATTGTTTGTATATAAGTGTTTGGTATATACACCAGTAGATAACTACTGTAATTGTTTGAAATAATCAATAAGGACATTGATACAATTTATTGTTGGGCATTGGAGTTTTGTTAACAAATACGAAGTATATATTTATATGGTGAATTCAATATAAATATAGGATATGAAGTATATTTTATTAATATTGATTGAATAATGCAAACAAATGTTACTATAGCATTGAAAGACCATTGAACTTTTGTACAAATAAGAAATTATCATTAAAATTAATTTCTACCCGTGTTAGAATATTTTAACACTTATGTTAATCTTATATTTACAAACTTTACTAATAAAATAAAATAAAAAAGAGAAATGATTAGAGCCATATATTGTATATAATATTCCACCAAATGCTCTATAAAAGGGAAAAGGAACAGTGAAATATAAAGGCAAGAAGTAGGCAATTAGAAAAAGTCATCACAAATTCCATCAAGACCCATAAATTCCTACCCATTAATTTCTCGAATTCGAAAATTATAATCCAAATTCAATTATCTGACAAACTCCAAGAATTGCTATGCAAGCATGAAGACTCCAACAAGGGCAACAACCATTCCATACTACTATAGGGACTAATCAAGCATATCTATTAGATCTAAAATAATAAACTTTACTGGGCCTACTTGCCAAAATATCTCAGTAAATATCAATCCAGGTAAAATTTTCATGCCTCACACTCTCATTGTATTGAATTTATTAAATTTCAAATACATTACATATAATATATGTTGAATAAGAAGGATGGAGAAGCTAACCAGTAAAGAATGGAAGATAATTTGCAAGTGTGTATTTTTAAATGAGATTCCAATCCGCTAATAACAAAACACTGCTATATTGAACAATTTGAAATTAGCGGTTTGGTACCAATCTGTTTTCCTAATCCGCCCATTAACAAACACTAGGAATAACTAGTTAGGACATTCAATCCGCTAAAGAAGGTCCAAATGGCTAATTCGAAGGCAACACACTGTTTACTAAACATGCCCTAAGTCTTTTAAAATTATAACGAATAGCATCAGCTGCTTCACAGGACAAAAAAAAATTATATCTATAGACAAGCAAAAAGAAAAGTGAGGGATTTTGTTCATAAACAAGAAATACAGAGTGTACTTGATATCAGATACAGTAATGTGGAAGCTGAGGATTATGAACGCACACCAAGCGAGAGCTTGAAGCAGAACCGCTTGCTTCAAGTCATGAGTAATGTGGTAAGAAACTGAGAAGGATTTCATACCCCTAAGAATTTGAAGAACATGCGTCACAGCATCGGTAGGAGGCATTGACTCAAACTTGTGTGCAGCTTCTCCAGCAACTAAAGCTATTAAAAGAGGTCCACCAGCAACAGTTGCATAGCTGTAGAATAGAAAAAATTCTCCTCGTCGAAGAGGATCATCAGATAGATGACCAAATGTATCAAGATCTGTGCCCCAAAAGACATGGGGGAAGAGCATGGCAACTTTATTTAAACAGCCAAAACCCAACCTCTTTATTCCGTCAAGTTTCCTCTGAGGTAGCTCAGGTACGAACTTAATGGAGCCAGATTTCAACACCCCTAATGGGACGGTGCACAGAACCATTTCACCTTCAAAAACTTGGTTTCCAGCAGCGACCTGAACCCCATCACTACCATAGCGAATCGAAGTAACTGTTTTTTCATACATGATTGGTACATTTTCTGTCAAAGCGTGCACCAATCTTCCATTTCCTCCAGACAAAAAACAATGATCCCCACCCATATCATAAGGGTCATCTTGGTCCCAAAATGCAAGAGAAAGCTTTGAAAGCAAACCAGCATTTGCATATTCTAAATTAGCAAAGTGCCAATTAAACAAGTTCTTCTCCTCATCAGTAACTGCATCCCCACACATTTGACTAAACGTATCCAATGCAGCTCCTAAAGAAACATCCTGTGAAACTTCCCCCATCAATTGCCGCAGGCGGCTTGCTTTATCTAAAAGCTTGTTAAAAGCGTTCTCCACCTTAGAGTCCAAAATAGGGTCAACTGGTGATCCATCAACCCGATAAATAGGACACTTATCCCTTATCTTATGAAGGGAATAAGACAGCTGCCGGGCCAAAATCCCGAGTGGATTGCCAAGGGTACCTGTCAAAACACTCCCCCCTAAATCTGCAGCAGCAACCTTATTTGATCCCTCCATCTTCTTTGTATAAACCCTACCTCCAGCACGCTTCCTTCCCTCCAAAACAGTCACCTTAAACCCAAAACGCATCAACTGCCGAGCAGCTGCCAATCCAGCCAACCCGGCCCCAATAACAATAACACTCCCCTTACTAGGTTCCATCGGAAATCTTTCCTTAATTGCCGGTGCAACCCCAAAATTAACATACCCGTGAGACACCAAGAAATCATACGCGGTATCTAAAAGCCAATGACAATGCTTCGGAATAACATTAAGAAACATCTCCTTCGAAACCCAATTCGACACATTCTCCCTCCATTTCGTAATTATATGATTCCTAATCAAAATATAATTAACCTGTTCAATCCCCCCAACTACTGGCAACACACCAGCATCAATTTCCTCATCAGTAACAGAATCAGCAGGAAACCCGGCCGTAAGCGCGGTCAGCGCCTCGGCCGTAGCTTCCCGATTAATCACAATAATGTCCTCAGACAAATCTACTGAACTAGGGTTCAATTGCAAATTGGGTTTCGTAAATTGCGCATTAACAGAACTACCATTACTAACATCAACAGAATTACCATAAATTTGAGGAATCGAAAATACCTGCTTGTAAGAAGGAATAGAAGAAAGCGTACTCCGAGGCCTCCCACGACGTCGTTTTCGAGGGATAGTGAGAGTGAGAAGATTGCTGGGCGTACTGGGATCAGAACAGCTGACATTGAAGCTCGAAAACGATTGAGAAATTAAATTCGAATGTTCAATTGGATTATTACTATCATTGTTAGGGTTTAAGTTATCGGAATTAGGGTTAGGGTTAGGGTTGACAAAACGGTCGAATTCGAGGAGGTTATCGTTGAGTGAAGAGAAGGAAGAGCAGTTGTTTTCAGGCATTTTGGAAGAAAGTGTTGAAATTTCTTGGACTTTTTCAAGAAAGACAACAATGGCGGAGGAGAGAGAAAAAGATAGTTAAAGGAGACGATCCTTTGTTTGTTATTTTGGCGCGCCACCTGCTGCAATTTTTCTGGGTTTATTACATGACAGAATAATTTTATGTCAAAAAATTTGAAAGAAATTTCGTTTATAGATGATTAATTGGGGTAAATTCAAACTTTTTTCCGATATAAATATGTGAATATATCTCCTTTCACAATTTAATCATTTTCTTTTATTTTTTAAATGATAAAAGTAAAATAATAAAGGAGCACAGAAATCCATTCATAAAGTTGTGAGAGGAGATAAACTGAAATTGTTAATTTATGATATTAACCAGGGTTCCTTCAATTGATTCGGGGTGTTTTTTTTTATGGCTTGTTTAGTTCACCTTAAGAGCATAAATAATGATAAGGATGCTAAAATTCTTTCCCATTTACTCTCTCCTTTCCTCCACTTGACACATCACACTCTCTTCCCTCCACATCATGTTCTACTATCTCCATCCATGAATTCATCATTTTTCTTAAATATTTCCAACATCAATGAGTATCCTTTCCCATTTTCTCTCTCCTATTTACTTATAACCTACCATATATTCCCTCTCCTATTAATACACTTAATTATTATTAAAGTTTGTAAAAGATGTTAATTATTATTATTATTATTAAATGAACATAAAACACGTCAACTAATACTTTTTCACATTAGCACGTTAATATAAGAAAGTTAGTAAAAAGAAGAAATACATGAATTAAAAACATGAAATGCACGGATAAAAATAAGCAACGAAAATAACATACATAATTAAAAATTATTGAAATGCTAATTTTCAACCAAGCTCCTAGACCTTGCCCATAAATGCTCAACCAAGTCGTTCTTAAATGTCACATGGACTTGTCTATTGAAGCTATCAATCTACCGAAATTATCAAGATCATAATGCCCGGGAGTTACGGTAAATGTTGTTGCATTTCTGATTGAGGACGACCATGGCATATTTCCAGGCTGTTCTTGGGCGAACTCAAGTGGATCTTTATAGTTTAAATATGTATCACGCTCGTCTTCAACGATCATGTTGTGGATGATGATGCAAGTCATCATGATTTTCCACATCAACTCTACACTCCATGCCAAAGCAGGCTTCCTAAATATTGCAAACCGAGCTTGTGACACACCAAATGCACGCTCAACATCCTTTCTAGCACTCTCTTGACGTTCAGTGAACAATTTATCCTTACAGGTTTGTGGGGCCGCAATAGCATCTATAAATGTCGACCATTTTGGATAAATCCCATATGTGAGATAATATCCTTTGTTGTAACTATTTCCATTAACTGTGAACAGAACTTGTGGAGCACGATTATTTATTATATCATCGAACACCGGAGAACGTTGAAGTACATTAATGTCATTGCATGATCCAGGCGTGCCAAATCCATAAATCCCTAGAAGCAATCGCTTCTAAAATAACAGTCGTCATTTTAGATTTTCCTTGATATATTCCTTTCCATCCAACTGGACAATTTTTCCATATCTAATGCATGCAATCTATGCTACCCTGCATGCTAGGGAAACCTTTGTCCTCCTTGTAATACTCAGTATTTTTATTTTATATATATATATATATATATATATATATATATATATATATATATATATATATATATATATATAATTTAATTATATATTATATTTATTTTATAAATTAAAATGATTTATTTCATTTTAAAAGAAATTAATTATTTAAATATTAGGTAAGTGTGCATAAAATAATATGGGTCATTAATTGAGGCAATAAAAGCGTTTTGAATTGGGTCATCTTATTTTAAGTTGGATCAACTTGTTAAAGAATTGAGGACACTTAAAAGTCTAACAAGTTGGCCCCAAACGAAGAAGTCAAGGGGGAGTAGGATTTAGTAATGACAGTTTTGTAATTATGAGTTTTTGTTTTAAAAGGGGAGTATAAATACTTTAAAATCTCAAGATTTTTCATTCTAAAATCGTAATTGTCAGATTTCACAAAAAAATTCCAAGGTTTTCTCTTTATTTTCTCTCTCCTCTTTCCCCTTATTTTTCCTCTCTTTTTTTTTCTTCTTCTTTTTCCTCTCCTTCCCCACGCCTCTCTTTCCCTCTTCTTCTCCCCTCACGCCGGCAACCACCGGCGCCACCACCACCACCGGCGGCAGCAGAAACAGTCGGCAGCCCGCCAACCACCCTCTCCTTCTCTCTCCTTTTGTTTATTTTTGGTGTTTTGGTATTATTAAAAAAAACACTCTTTTTCTTTTCCTAATTTAATTCTATTATTTTATTAATTTAAAGCATGATTTTGATTATGTTTTGGTATTGATTTTGGGTGTTTGATGTTGTTAAATTATTTATATAATTTTCAGATTTTTATTCAATCAAAAACCTTAATTTACAAACCCTAAAATTTGGGAATTTAATATTTATGGTGAGGGTTTGATCCTAGGTTGATGTTGTTGTTTAATTAATGGTTTAAACATGTTTTAATGAGTATAAAACCATCAAATTAATGCTGAAATTTATCTATGCACATTACTTTTTAATTATTGAGTTAGAGTTTGATTACCCATAAAAGGGAAAAGGGTTTTAATGATTTAAATATGATTTTCTAGTCTATTAGTGATGTTTTATATTAAATAAGTATGCTGGCATTTTATTTAAGTCATAAAAATTAAGTCTTTTTGAAAGGATTTGAAGTACCCACTTAAAGAAAAGGTTTTATGGCTTTTATGTCATTAAATTGGGTTAATTAGTAAGGTTTAAAGAGTATTATAGTTGCTGGAAATTTGTTAGAATAGTAGATTAATTATAGTTATGTATTCTTATTTGTAGGAAACTTTGAGCTAGGTGATTTCTAGTGAGTGTGACCGAGTTTAGACATTGTTCAAGGTACGTATGTGCACAAGAATATTTCTATATGCGTAGTATCATGCTAGGATCGTAAAGTATGATTTAAGTGATGAATTAGTAGCATGTTTGGTTGATTATATGCTTGGAATTGATGTTGGTTGAGCATGATTTGTTATGCAAGCATGTGAATATATTATTTGAGGCATGATACAAGTTGAATATGTATGAATCATGGAAGTATGTTTTATTTTCAAGTATCAAGAAAGCATGTATTTAAAAGCAAGGCTTATATATGAGTTAAAGAGCTAAAGTTAGAATTATTGATCATGATTCATGAATTTATTTCTCACCCATTTATTATTGGTGTTGAGTCAAGAAGTTAGTTTATTTAATTACTCACTCAAGTAAGTTGAGTTTGAGCCAATGAAGTTTAGTAGTGCATCTTATGCACCAAGGTAGTAATCTGTAATTTTGTGAACAAAACTAGGCAAAGAACCTTAATTAAAATAAATAGTATGTGCTCACTAATTAATTCAAGAATGAATTGGGAAGTTTGTATTGATTGTTATGATGTTTGTTCTTAATTGATTGGTTGGAGTCATCACAAGTTAAATTTGTAAATCACGTAAAGTGTAAGAGGATTCGCACCAAAACTCTTGGAACGTATATACCTTGAGTATGAACATATGGGGGGAGTTATGGGGTTTCATATTTAACCATAGCTTCTACAGGGGTACAGGACGCTGTACTTTCTTTTATTATTAATGTGCTGGAATTCCGTCACCAAGTGTGACATAATAGGTGCTATTGGAAGCTCAATATTTAATGGACTATTTTCAAGGAAGGAAACCCGTTCGATGCGTAATCCAAAATTATTATTAATAATTAATATTGCTAGTTATGAGTCAAAAGTAGGTTGACTTGTGATTGTATGGCGAGCATGTTTTAATTATTGTTTTTATTTTGATGTTAGGATATTCATGTTAGTGTGGTGCATATGTACTCAGCTTTGCTGATTCGTACTTTTGTGTTTGTGTTTGACTTTCCTTTGGATTGGCCCTACTATGACCCATTTTTATGGTGAGTAGAGAGTTGAATAAAGAGGAAGTATCGGGTACTTGAAGCATGAAGAGCATGATGGGATAGAGTGCAGAAAGTTACTTGTTATGTTTCTTGGTTTTAGTATTTTGAATTATTGATTATTGTTTATTGACTAACAATATTATGTTTATTTTTAATTGGTTTTTAAGAAGGGCCATATGTTTGAATTGGTTCCAACTTGTGAATGTTTTATTTTACTTTTGTTTTGAGGTTGTGAACTCAAGTTTTAAGCTTTATTTTTAAAAGTCGGTTTTTATGTTTCAGACTTCCGCTGTGAGACTTTGAAAACTAGCCTTAGCCGTTATCACAGTGGCGGTAATATTTTGGTTATTTCCTAAAATAAGTTTCATTTAGAGTAAAAAGAGTATTTTAAAAGAAGGGAATTTCCACGGTATTACACTCCACTTCTCTAAGGAGGCGTTGGATATCTTTCAATGTTGGCTTGCGAAGGTACTCAGTTGCAAATTGAGCAATTACTCCTTCGACAATATGTTCAAGGCATTCTCTAGCAGTGCTTTCACCGAGCTTCAGATATTCATCTACTTGATCAGCTGAACAACCATAAGCCAACATACGCATGGCTGCTCTGCATTTTTTAAGAGGTGAAGCACCAAGACACATGTATCATTTGAAGGTTGTTGGAAGTAGCGGTTAGTTGCACTTAATGTGTTTACAATGCAAAGGAAAAGGGGTCTTTGCATACGAAACCTCCTTCGAAACGTGGTTTCATCGTATACCGGTTGGTCACTAAAGTAATCAGCAACTAAATTGTCGTGAGCTGCTTCACGATTTCTCGGCATAGTTATCCTTCGTTTTCTTTGACGTTTTTGTTCATTTTGCTGTACTAAATTATTTACAGCTACAAGTACTGCATTTTGCATTACTTGTAATCGATGACTCTTGTTGATAAAATCCATGACCATGTGATCATAGATTTCATCAGTTGAACTTGAAGATGAACTTGAAGAGTTAGAATCAAAATTCATATTATGTTTATTATCAAACAATATTTGAGATAAAAGGTTGTTGGGTTTTTTTTTTTTTTTTTTTTTTTTTGTGTCTGAGGGAAATAGAAGGTTGATATTAATAGATGTAATGTTACTGGGAGTAATCTTATGAATTTTATAGATAAAAATAGGATAAGGATATGTGATCATAAAACAAGGGATGTCAGAAGATAGGATTTTGGTTAGTATTTCAAGATAAAACTTACAAGCTACAATGACAATAACGCTACTAACAATAATAATAAAACATACAACTTATAATAGCAAATAGTACACTGACAAAAAAAAAGGGTTTTGCTTGCGTTGACTTTCGTTGACTTTTCTCTCTAGCTCTCCCATGGTGATTTTCGTTTGCTAGGCTGGGTTTCTTCATCTAGCTTGGGGTTCACCATGCCGCGCAAGAAAAAACAATCAACTCTACTTCCGCAAAACTCTAATCTAGCTTCTGTTAATGAAAATTTGGATAATCCTGAGAAATCAGGAGTTTCTTCTAAGCCAGTTTCGATTGTTGAAGAAGATGAACTCGTGACTCCACCCCCTCATTTAGTTAATCCAGCTGCTGGTAAGATTTCATGCGGTGATTTGAAAAGGCTGGAAAGCTTTTACAAAAGCTCTAATGCTCAAATTCAGGGTAATTTCAATGGAACAGTAACTAGGGTTTCAGCGGTTACTGTTCCATTGATTTCTGATCATAATGAAGGCTTGGTTAGGCCTGTTGATTATGTTCAGGAGAGCTCTATGGGCCCTGAAGATATGGAGAAATCATCAGAAGCAATGCCTGCAGATCAAACCTACAAAGGTAAATTGAGTGCTAAAGGAGTAACTCTGTCTTTTATTGCTCCTCAAATCGTTGATGGGAAGTCTGTAGCTAAGCTTAAAGCTTCTGAGCTCTCTGATGGAAGTAAAAAATGGGGTAATGCCTTAATCTTTTATGTTGTTGGATATTCCCCTACAATCACTGCTGTTCATCGATTTATTGCTGAAAATTGGAGAACTATAAGTACACCAGACATTTATTGGCATGATGAGGGGTATTTTATTATCAGCCTAAAATCTGAAAATGATAAAAATATAATACTAAGTACAGGTCCTCACATGTTTTTTGGTAAACCAGCTATAATTAAAGCTTGGAATGATAAGTTCGACTTTCATTCAGAGATCCTGAGAACTATTCCTCTATGGGTGAAGCTGCCCAACTTACCCTTGAATTGTTCGGGAGCTGATACTCTCAGTAGAATTGGAAGCACTCTAGGAGTCCCAATTTGTGCAGATGAATGCACTTCAAGACAATTAAGAGTGTCTTTTGCTAGAATTCTGGTTGAAATAGATGTTACAAAGCCCCTTCCAGCCTCTGTATGGGTTGAGAATCCAGCTGGGGAAGTGATTGAGCTCAAGATTCAATTTGAATGGCTGCCACCATTTTGTAAGAGGTGCAATAAGGTAGGACATGACTGTTCTGCTTCTAGAAAACAGGCACCACAGCAGAGTGTTGAGACCAGTCAACCTGGTCAGAATCAAGTTAAGAAGGTATGGGTCCCTAAGCAGGCTAATCCTATGCCTCTTGTTAAGGAGGGTGTTGCCATAGCTGTTAATGAGGTTACACCAGAACAGCAAGTTCAGAAACCAGAGGAATGGCAAGTTGTTGCTAAGAAGAACAAGCAAAAGGCTAACAGACAGATCTCTTTTCCTGTCACAAGTCCCAACTCTTATCAGCCTCTGACTGTGAAGGAGACAGGGGTTTTTGAAATTGAAGATAATAATCCTATCGGGGGTGATGGTAATCCCCCTTTGGGGACATGATTATCCTTTCCTGGAACATAAGGGGTCTTAATGACCCTGGGAAGATAGCTGTGATGAAACAGTTGCTCTTCCAGCAGAATTCTGATGTGGTCTGTATTCTTGAAACTAAAGTAAAAGAGCAAAACAGTAAGAAAATTCAGAAGAAGTTTGGTAATTCGTGGTCTTGGTATTGCAATTATGCTAGCTCCCCTAGAGGTAGAATCTGGATTGGTTGGAAGGCTACCTGTCTTACTATTGATGTCCTGTCTACTGATTCCCAATTTGTGCACTATTTACTGTCTTCAAAGGATTTACTGACTCAAATTCTAGTTACCTTTGTGTACGGTCTTCACACTATTCAAGACAGGAAGCAATTATGGTCAGGGTTAAAGAATCTTCCTAGTGCTTCTCTTCCTTGGTTATGTACAGGTGATTTTAATTCCATTCTGTCTGCTGAAGACAGATTAAATGGAGCAGGTGTCTTCGAGTATGAAACTAGAGATTTTCAGCAATGTATTGATGACTTGGCTCTAGTAGAGATCAAAAGTAAGGGAGCCTTTTATTCTTGGTGTAACAAGGCTCATTCAGGCCCTAGGACTTTCTCAAGAATTGATAGAGGCTTTGTTAACCAAGAGTGGGTTAATACTTATGGTCATGTTGAGGCTATCTTTCTTCCTCCCTCTCTTTCTGATCATAGTCCCATTGCTTTTGATATCTTTCCTTCTCAGCCTGGGAAAGGAAGACCTTTTAGATTTCTAAACCATTTAGCTGAGCATAGCAATTTTCTGAATATTGTTGAAAATGCTTGGCAGGGTTACAGATTGGGTGGTGCAATGAGGAAAGTCTGGTACAAGTTAAAACAGGTCAAAGAGGCTCTGAAGAACCTTAGTGTTCAGCAGTTTGGTGATGTTAATGCTAAGGTTGAGGCTTCTCATACCCACCTTGTTAATATCCAGACTCAACTCTCTAATGATGTGCATAACACAGATCTCTATATTAAAGAACAGGAAGCTATTGATGCTGTTAAACAGTGGCTAGGTATACAGGAGAGTATTTATAAACAGAAGTCCAGAGTTGGTTGGTTACAACTTGGTGATGGGAATAATAAATATTTTTTCTCTGTTATGAAACACAGGCAAAGTAGGAACAGGATTGACTCCCTGTACTCTGAGCAGGATGTTCTGCTTAAGGTCCCTGCTGAAATTGAGCTGGAGCTTACTGGTTTTTATAAAAAACTTCTTGGGTCTAAAGCTGATTCTCTTCCTTGTATTGACCTTAGTACAATGAGGAAAGGGAGACAACTGTCTAGAGATTCTCAGAATGCTCTTATTGCTCCTGTTAGCTGTGAGGAAATTGACAAGGCTCCGGCAGGAATTGATGTTGCAAAGGCTCCAGGTATAGATGGCTTTAACTCTCTTTTCTTTAAGAAAACCTGGACTATTATAAAACATGATGTTTATGAAGCAGTGATGGATTTTTTTGCTAATGGTAAACTAATGAAACACTGGAATTGTACTACAATTACCTTAGTTCCCAAAGTGCAGAATCCCTCTTATGCTAAGGAATTTAGACCTATTGCCTGTTGTACTGTCCTCTACAAGTTGATCTCCAAAATTCTAACAGCAAGGCTGGCCCTGGTTCTCAATGAGGTTATTGATGCTTCTCAAGCAGGTTTTATCCCTGGTAAGCATATTGGTGATAATATTCTTCTTGCTACAGAGCTTATCAAGGGTTATAGTCATAAGCATGTTACTCCTAGGTGTATGTTGAAGATAACCTAAAAAAGACCTATGACTCAATTGAATGGGGATTTTTGGAATCTGTCATGGTTGAGCTTAATTTCCCTGGTCAATTTATTGTTTGGACTATGGAGTGTGTCTCTACTGTTTCTTTTTCTATTATGATTAATGGTACCCCTACTGTTCCTTTCCCGGCTAAGAAGGGGCTCAGGCAAGGAGATCCTATGTCTCCCTTTTTGTTTGCAATTGGGATGGAGTATTTGTCCAGATGCTTGTCTGAATTGCAGTTGAATCCAGATTTTAATTATCATCCCAGATGTGAAAAGTTGAAACTCACTCATCTTATGTTTGCAGATGATTTATTGATGTTTTCTAGGGCTGATATTGGCTCTGTCTCTTCTCTTTTTCAAGCCTTCACTAAGTTTTCTGAAGCTTCAGGGCTTGCAGCTAATTTGGAAAAGAGTGAGGCTTACTTTGGGGGCATTTGTGATGATGATAAAGCCTCTCTTAGTTCCTTGATTGGTATTGCCCCTGGTTCAATACCTTTCAAGTACCTTGGAGTTCCCCTTTCTTCCAAAAAGTTAACCATTGCTCAATGCAAACCCTTGATTGATAAGGTCATTGCAAGGATCAATGGTTGGACTGCTAGAAATTTGTCTTATGCTGGAAGGGTCCAGCTTATAAAGAGTGTCCTTTTTGGTGTTCAAACCTATTGGGCTCAAATCTTTGTGCTTCCCAAGAAGATTCTGACAGAAATTGAGTCTAGATTCAGGGTGTTCTTATGGACTGGGAAGGCTAACCCTTCAAAAAAATCTTTAGTCTCTTGGGCTCATGTTTGTCTTCCTAAAGTGAGTGGTGGCTGGAATTTAATCTCTCTCCCAGAGTGGAATATTGCAGCCATTACTAAGCTTCTGTGGGATCTGGCTCACAAGGCTGACAGCTTGTGGGTTAAATGGGTGCATACTTATTATTTCAAAGACAAGCCTTGGTGGGATATGCCTGCTCCTCAGAAATGCTCCTGGGTTCTTAAAAAAATCTTGAAATGCAGGAGTGTAATTGATAATATTGGTGATTGGGGCAGTGTGGTTCAAGGGAGTAAGCTCAAGATAAAGAAAGTGTATAAGCTCATTATAACTCAAGCTCCTAAGGCTCCTTGGAGGAGAGTTATCTGTAACAATAAGGCTTCCCCTAAAAGTCTGTTTATCACCTGGCTTGTGGTCAGAAGGCTTATGACTAAAGACAGGCTTCAAAAATGGAGTGTACACTGTGACCCTGTCTGTTTTTTGTGCAATTAAAGCTTAGAAACTGTTCAGCATATATTTTTTGATTGTGCTTACAGTAGATTTGTTTGGTCTCAAGTCTTGAGGCTGTTTGGAGAACAGAGGGCTATTGGCTGTTTTGATCTTGAATTGGAGTGGATCCTGAAGAAATGTAGGAAGACTAGAGCCAAATACCGGTTGA